AATGGGATGTGGCTGCAACAAATACCTGAGAAAACCAACTTATAAAGAGAAAAGGGTTATATTGGCTGTCAGTTTAGGAGGTCCCAGTCCATGGGCCATGGCCCCATTGCATGGTCCCTGTGGTGGCACACCATGGTGGGGACATGCGATGGAGCAAAACTACCCACCTGTGGCCAAGAAGCAAAAGAGAGGAGGAAGAGGCCAGGGCACAATATCTCCCTGAAAGGTGCCTGGAAACCTCTCCTAAAGGCTCCATCGCCTTCCTGTAGCACCACAGGCTGGGGACCAGTCTTTATCATGTGAACTTTGGGGGACTCTTATGACCCAAGCTATAGCAGAGTCTGTGGCCTGTTCTCCAAGATCCCTTAATCATTTTTGGCTTCCCAAATGGCAACCTCAGTGCACCAAGATAAGGATGCCCTGCTCCATAGAAGAGAACCCACCTTTGCTTTTTGGTTCCCCCAAGAAATTGAACCACTAATCAGCACAGTCACCCTCCTGTTTGAGGGCATCCTGGGAGGCTTCTTACAAGCTCTTATCTCAGAGAATGGAACTCTAGGCAGTAAGGCTACCCATGGCCATTAGGTGTTTAAGGACATGAGAGCACCTTCAGCTGCCATGGCCAGAGGTAGAGGCTCCTCTCCCACCAGCCTGAGAAGTCAGATGTGTAATGCAAGTCAACAAGAGTCGAGGTGGGCTGCACATAGGAGAGGCAGAACTTGGCATATTCCTGCTGCACCTATTTCCTGGACCAAACCCTAATCTGCAGAATCGCTGTGAGCATTAAAGAACATACATAAAGCCCTCACACATGGCCTGATGCAGAGTAATGGCTTAGCAGAGGTTGCTGTACAGTTGCTGCACTCGGCCCTACCCTAAGGGAGCCTCGCTTTTTGCTGGAGCAGAGGGAGGCAGACAGGCAATGGCACCAAAGGCCCGAGGTCCCAGCATTCCCATGGGTGGCTCCAGGGACTCAGGAGCCTCACACACAGAAGGTTCAGCACCTCGGTCTTTCAAGCTTGGTATTAGAGCCACCAGCAAGCTCTGGAGAAGGTAACATGTCATCAAGTGTCGGGACTACGTCAAGCCCAGGTTTGGCCCAGTCTTGGGCACATACTAGGTAGATCTTCTTGGGTAAGTGACTTAACTCACAGAGCTTTGGTCACCTTATCCCTCCCAGGGAAGCTCACCAGCCAGACCCAGATGGGGTGTAGTCAGCCAGCCTGAGCCAGCCAATGCCACCCATGGTCCCCATGAAGTTGGCTCCCAGAGCCTTTGCCAGAGAAAGGACAAAGCTGGAGTGTGAATACTCCATTCCTTGGGTGAAGATGGGTGTGCAGAAGACACTGCATTCTGTGGGCTCCTCACCCTGATTCCAATTACACAACTGTCATCATCAGATATGACCTTGTGGCTCCATAGCCCTTCATGGACAGAGAAGGGGCCAGAAAACTCAGGCTAAGAGGGAATCACAGGCCTAGAAGGAGTGAGGACCTAGGTTTCTCATAACCAATACCCAATACAATCAGGCCTCGTCCGTGGCTGGTGTGGCCTTTCCATTTCACACAAATGTGCACACGCTCTGTAACAGGCTGAACACACGCTTTTAAAACTAACTGAAACTTATGCTTGCAGTGGATGGAAAGCAGGCCCCTTTCACATGGGCAGTGAAGACTTGGTGCATTTTACAGAGGGCAAAACCCTATTTGTCTGAACTGCTGTGAAAATCAAACTATACCTAAAAGGCTTTCCATGGGGCCTGGCACAGAATAGCTGTTGTGCTGGTGTTGCCTACATATTACTGCATTTGGACCCCTCCCGGAGCTCCCCACATACAACCGTGCAGGTTGTACACTGCCTGGACCCCCACTGTTCCCATAGATTCTGATGGATACAGCCCCTTCCGGTTCTGGGCAGTGCACATCCTTCACCACTGTCCACGACAGCAGGCATGCTGGGGGCATGGCCCTCACTCAGGGCAGACATGCAATCCAGGACATCTTTTCTGACTTTGACTCTCAGGTGATCCTTCCTCTCCTTTCACTTTTCTCTTTCCTGAACTTTAAATCACCCCTCTGACGGAGAACCCAAGTGGTGTAGCCAGCCCAGAAGGCAGTGTGGGCAAAACTAAGAACAGTTTTCTTTACTCCCTCTTTCCAAGTCCATCTAAAGCTTTGGTCTCTTACCATTTTTCAAAGCCAATGGCTGATTTTCAAAACAAAGCATGCTACCTGCTCTGCCTCTGGCCCTCAGTCTCAGCTTTGCAGCCTGGGTACCTGGGGACCTTGTTGAGCTAAAGTGGCCACCAGGGAGAAAAAGGATGTTGGAAGAATCACTGAGTTTTTACTCTGAGTCAAGCTTGAGCAAGAAGCCTTGCAGACACTGTTGCTGCTATTTCCATTTAAGTGTTATTGAGCCTCAATCCCCAAGTCATTTATCAGGTGAGCCTGCAAGGCAGGGGCAAAGCGTGGCTCTCAAGGCTACTCCTGTTCCCAGTGGACTAGTGACACTTCACAGACACCAAATCCATGCAGAATCCAAACAATACCTGATGCATCACCCCCATGCTCCTGGGTAAAACTCCTTGGCCTCCCAGACTTTGCTCAGCCAGTCCTCACTGACTGCCAACAATCTCAGCTGGACATCCCCTCCCCTCCACCTTCCTCCTTCACCCGTCCCCACCTGCTCCAGCCAAGAGCCTGGGTCAGGCCCCCAGAACCCTCTGAGAAGCTGGGGGATAGTCCTGGGTGCTCTCATCTGTGCTGCTTGAAATAGCATCACCGGTTTGGTAAAAGGTCTATCTAGCTGTTCAAATTATGCCAGCGGTCAACAGAGCTGAGATGTACAAATCCATCCTTTAATTTTACAGAGTTCCTGAGCTTCATCACATCTTACCTGCCAAATAGCAAAAGATGCCAGCTGTTCCCTCAAATACCCTAGATTAAACAGACTAACAACTGAGTTTGAATCCTTTTTACATTGCTTCAGTCCTCTTTCTTAAAATAGAATTTTGTGGGGGTTTTTTAACATTGTATCATCACCATCGAATTACGGGATAATTTAGACTTACCAAAAGAAGTAACAAATAATAAAAGAAACAACTGTAGATCCACTCACTACCCAAGTTGAAAAATGAAATAATAACAAGTGTGTTGAAAACAACTACCAGTATATGCCAGTCTTGTTCACTTTGTTCCTACCCCAGTTGTAACTCAGTTTGCCTAAAGAAGACACTATGCCCACGTCTTCATATTTCACACTATTCTTAAACTTTTTATCTTAAGGTACTTATAAAGTTGCATGGAGTCATAACAAATAATATGCCCATCCATCCCCTACTATGTTTTGTCCATTTGTAACATCTTACAAACTGTAATGCAGCATCATAACTGGAAAACTAACAATGATACAGCCCACCAAGATTATTCAGATTTCATTAGTTTTTACATGAACTTGTGTGTGTGTTTAGTTCTATATAATTTTACCTTATGTGCCGACCATGTGTGCACCACCTCAGTCAAGGTACAGACCAGTGTCATCACAGAAGCCTTTTGATAGCCATTGTCACCTTTTCTCTTCCCCTCTCTAGCTGCCAGCCACTGACACTCCATTCTTCATTTCTTAGCCTTGTCATTTCAAGTTATACAAATAGAAACTACCGTATGGGTCTTGTTACTTTTCTTGTTGCTGAGACAAAATAACTAACACTTAAAGGAAGAAAAGTTTATTTCAGCTCAAGTTGGTAGAGGTTTCAGTCCATAGTCGACTGGCTCCAAGGCAGAGTGGCATGGCAGAGGGGCATCACAGAACAGAAACGGTCTGTGGCAGGGCAGGCAGAAAAACAGCAGAACAGTGAGCCTTCCTTTCCCTTTCATCCCATCCAGGCTACAAGCCTATTGGATGGTGCCACTCACACCTAAGGCAGGCCTTCCCATTATCCACACCCAGAACTATGCTAAACCAATCAATGGACTAATTTAGATATCACACACCATTAATCCATAGTCAGATACTCTAGATCCATTCATTCCCAAAAGCCCCACTTAGGAGTGCATGGGGCTTTGGTGTAAAGCATAACACTATGTAATCTTTTGAGATTAGCTTTTGGTGCTTAGTTGCTCTATATTGTTGCGAATCAAATGTTTGCTCTTATTGCTATTGCTTAGTCACCTTCTGCTTATGGTTGTACCACAGTTTGTCCATTCACCTCTTGGAGGACATTTGAGTTGCTGTGAAGTGGAGAGGTTTTTGTGTGAATGTAAGTTTTCATTCCTGTGATGTGAATGGCCAAGATTGATACCATGGGGGTATATGGTGAGCACATGCTATTATTTTATACTATGATGCTGATTCACCTCTTTAACCCTATAGTAGTATCACACACCATGTATATGTTGCTCTGCAACTTTCTTGTCTCTCTCTCAACATATGTTCCTTTCATCTTGCCCATGTTAATAAATGCAGCTCTAGTTTATTTGTTGTATTTTATGTAGCAGGATATTGTATGAATATTCTATAATTGTCTATTCTATTCTAATTCTGTAAGCATAAAGTATTTACAAGGGAATGGATTTGGTAGGCAAGGAACTAATTTATCTTCCTGGTTTTAGAATAGGAAAATATGGAAAAAGTCTTAACTAGTCTAAAAAGACAAGACTTGATGGTTTAGTCTTAGTTCTACCCATTTGATTACCTTGGCCAAGCCACTCAGCCTTTCTAAGCTCAGCTATGTCATCTGTAAAATGGGAATCCAAGAAATAATAATAAAAACAATAATAATAGCCTGAATGTGTCTGGGAATTAAATGAAATTATAAATGGGAATTCAAATTAGAACATGCTGAATAGATGGTAAGTACTTTTATTATTAACAACATTAAATATTTATTCTCATAAATGGGCACAGCAACTAAATTATACATTCCAGGTTTTTCATGGAAAATCCAATTTCAATTATTCCCTCCCATTGCTCCCCTGTGTTGCCTGTCACCCCCATCCTGCTTTGGGGATCAGAAAATACCATGAGCACAAAGGTCAGGATGACTACAGAGGTCCTGGTTTAGCCTCTCTTGAAAGTAAAGGTTGTTGTCCCATTATACAGATGAGGAAACTGAGGCTCGGGTGTTGAGTAGCTGAGCCAAGATCAGTAACACCAAGGGCCTTCAGGAAGCCCTGAGCTGCCCACACTCAAGGGCCAGGCAGATGCTGTGGCTTCAGTCTTGTCCCACTTTGGCAAGAGCTGTCCCTGGTCCCAGCCCCAGTCAGAGCCCCATGTACATGGCCTTCTGAAGGGAAGGACTGAGTCCAGATGGGTGAGTGAACTGCTCCGTCCGCACACAGCAAGCCGAGAACGGGAGGAGGGGAGAGGCAGCAGGGAAGACTGCAGCGGCCAGAAGAGCTGTGGATACGGCTGCTGGCCTGCCGGGCTGAGCGGCCACCGGGGATGACAGGACAGTCTCCCAGTATTCACAGGGTGTGAGTGCTCTGGAAGGAGCATCTTCTACTCTGGAATGAAGGGGACCGTGGAGAGAGAAGTGGCCGGTAAGGAGCAACGGTACAGAACGAAGAGGGAGAAGGAGCCTCCCTTTCCCCTGCTCTGCCTCAGCTTCTCCTCCCGTAACGTGTGGGGACTGAGAGGATGTGCTCTGTGGCCCTCGGGTCCAGTCTGACTCCCGAGCGTTCTGCGGTCAGGGGCGAGCGAAAGCTTTCACAGCCGGCAGCGAAGCCCTGTGGTTCCTCAGGGGAGGCGGACGGGTCTGCGGGGCAGGCCTCACCTCTGAGGGGACCTGGCAGGGCCACAGCCATGGGTGGCTTCCTTCGGGAGCCGCTGCCCCTGCGTCACAGTCCACTCCCTGGAAAGAGCCGGGAAGGGCAGGGGGACTGGAGAGGTGGGCCCCACGGGAAGAGCAGCGTCCGGGCCCAGCAGCCCCTGGGCAGAGGGGAAGCCGACGCGCAAACAAGCACCTGCGTGACTCTGGAGCGCTGTGGGCCCCTGGAATGACCCCAGGGTGACCATCATCACCGGGAAAGCCACCTAACCTGTCAGGGTCTGAGGGCGAGTAACTCAGCCTCCCTGTGAGGACAAAATGGGAGGCCCACAGAAGCTGCAGAGCCTTGGTCCAAGGGATGGGCAAGATCGGAGTAGGGCGGGCTAACCTCCTCCCCAAACCCTCCTCTCCTTTCTTTGTCTTTTTTAAACAGCGTATTGAGCTATAATTCACACATCATACAATTCACCATTCCGAGTGGTTTGAGTATATTACATTACTAATTTTTTAATTGTGGTAAAATATATACATATATATATATGTATCAGAATATTCACCATTTTAATCATTTCTAGGTACAGAATTCGGTGGCAGTAATCTCATTCACAACGTTGTACAGCGACCATCACTGTCTATTTCAAAGCTTTTCACGACCCCAAACAGAAGCTCTGAATGTGAGAATCCCTAACTCCCCATTCCTCCCTTTCCCTGTTCCTGGTAACCTCTGACTACTTCCTGTTTCTGTGATCTGCCTGTTCTAGTTTATGTCAGTGAATTCATACAATATTTATCTTTCTGGGTTGGAATTATTGCAGTGACCATGATATTTTTATGGTTCATTGATGTTGCAACATGTATCATGACTTCTCTGTATAGCCAGACTCTACATTTTTTAGCAAAATACAATGGAGCCTTGACTTAGGAACTCAATTCGTTCCTGAGGGCTGGTTGTAACTCAAGTTGGTCAGTTGCCTTCAGTGTCTCTCTCCTGTATAATCTCAGGCTACACTTTCTTCCAGGCAGATCTCAGTGTCCTTAGAGAAACACTGGTTCAGGAACCCCACACAGGAAAGGATGTTGTAATGTTCCTTCCAGAACTCTTTAAGGGTTATATCTGTATCTGAGACCATCTACAAGCATAAGCGACTGGCATTCGGTTCATAACTGAAGACTTTGTTTGTAAGTTAAAACTAAAATTTCGGGCCAGGGATTTAGCTCAATGGTCCTGCCGCCTACCTCACAAGTACAAGGACCCAGGTTTGATCCCCGGTACCACAAAAAAAAACCACTAAAATTTCAGGTCGTAACTTGAGGGTCCACTGTACATTTCCAGTATTGTTATTTACATTTCTGAATACTAATTCTTATCATCCTCGCTGACAACTCTATTAGGCCAGTACTTTTCTAATCTCCACTGTACAAGATGAGGCACAGGGAGGTCAAATATCTTGTCCAAAATCACACAGCCAGTCAGTGAGTGCAGTCAGGATTCACTGAGCCCAGGCAGAGTCTAAGCACTGAGCACGGCAGTCCACAACCTCCTCTACTAGGCTCCTCTGCCATGCCCCACCTGGTCCCCTGCAGCATTCACTGCTTAGCCCTGTGAGTTCGAGTTGGAGACCTTGAGCTTAGGGAATCTAGACCTTCTTCATTTCCAGGTTGCTGGGTGCCCCACCCCCCCGCCCCCGGTCATGGCTTTCTCTCAGGCCGGGTCCATGGATGTGGACTGCTTAGCTGTCCTGACTTGCTCAGCAGCCACATCCATCACACCAGATAGACTAGGAGAGGCTACTACAGCCAGGAGCCATCTGTCCTCAACAGCGGGACCCCAGCAGCCCCTTCTGGGGGCGGCCCCAATGTCTGCTGCATAAGCCTGTTGGGGTCAGCTTCTCAATACGGTCTCTGATAGCCGATGTGTGGCTCGGCATCATCTCATACCTTCTCACCATCCTCTCCTCGGCCTGGATTTGGTCAGAGGCTGGCTCCTCCATGCCAGCATAGGTCACAGGCCCACACCACTCACCCAAACCCACGGGCTCCGATGTGCCTTGGAATTCCAGTGGGTCCAGAATTTAGGACAATGACAAGAGACCATCCCAGCAAGGTCTGGGCCAAGTCCCTGCCATCGGGCACATTAATAGTTCTGCAGTGCAAGGCATGAATATTCACATCAAGCAGGATAAAGAAAACACTATAAATAGCCACAGCTCAGGCAGGTTTTGCCTCCAAAGGAGTTACATAAGAAACGGTTTGCCGGCTTTGTGCTCCCCACTGGCAGACAAGGGCCGGAGCCACATAGGCCTGGCCTCCCCTTATTCCTGCACTGTCCCCATCATCTCCTAGCTATCACCTAATGGCCTCCTGAAGGAGACCCCTCAGCTCCTGCCACCACCTGCTCCGAGACAATTTGGAGCACACCCGGTCCCCCTCACCCAAGGCTGCCCTGCCCACTGCTCCTCCCTGGGCACTGAACACATCTGGACTCCCTGACCCCCAGTGGGGACTTTCATTTGATGCAGTCCTCAGAGCACAGAGATGAGGAGCATCTTCCTCTCTCACCGGCTGGGTTTCCACCCATGGCGGGTGGAGGACAGAGCCCTGCAGGGGGAGAGGGGGGAATAGCTGAAGGAAACTGGGGAGGACGCTTTGCCAGAAGGCGGTGGGGCTGGGCTGCTCTCTCTCAGATGGTCTTCCCTGGCCTCTGCCCACTTTGTTGCCCTGTGCCCTCAGCAGGAGGCTGAGGAACAGTCTTCCCCAGGATACCCTGAGTCACCAGAGTATAGGCAAGGCTGCTTTGGGGCCCAGACACAGCACCAAAACAATGGTGAGGAGGGCAGGGCCAAGCTGTCACACACATTACAAAAAGGCTCCTCCTCCAGGTCAGTGCGGGTCAGAGGCCTTAGGGTTAGGCATTGGGAAGGCCAGCTTTACATGGCTTTAGGTGCAGCCCACATTGGGAATCACACAGGACTGATGGCAAGTCTCCTCGGAAGGGCTATGGGTGTATTTTGCAGAAACTTGTCCATTGATGTTATGCAGATGGCATGGGGTACAAAACCTAGATTAGTGAACATTGAATTGGCTACTCTTAATTTCCTAGATTTAGGAGGCCCGAGTTTAAAGGTCCCTTTGTATCGTTGGTGCTTTGAGCCAACCCTCAGCCTGGTTATCTAGGAGAATCCTCCCACTGGTCTTGGGAGAGAAGGAAGCCACCATCCTGCTGGATCAGGGGAGGGAGGCAGAGAGGGAGGAAGGTGGCCACATCAGGTGGGGTGGCCTCCCACCTGCAGGGCTCTGCAGTGCCCCTCTCCATGCCCTGGACCTGGCACACTGCAAACATAGGGTGGGCACAGGAATGGAAAGAAGCAAGGGGAAGATCATTAAGCACAAAAAGATGACAAATAAAGACAAATGGAGAGGAACAAACCGAGAAGAGCTCACTTACACGCACCTACCTCCCCTCCCCGTTTTCCCTAGAAGATCAAATTATGACCTAGAATCACTGGATACATATTTTATTATGTAGATAATTTAAAGGATTAGAGTAAGACAAAGAATTCATAGGCTGTAGTCACATTAGAAGACAAATTGTTTCCATTAATCTTTGAAGAAGGGAGGGAAGGAGAGAAATGAGAAAATGTATGTGAGCAAGGCCAGGGCAGTCAGGAAAGCAGCCTGGAAGGGGGTGCAGAGACCTTGAGTCTTTCTTCCCTCCCAGCCTCTCCCATGGCCCCACCCCAACCCTAGCCAGGGCTCGGCTCCAAACAAGGCTGATTTGCATTGCAGATTTATCTCAGCTGCTTTCTGCTTCTGTTGCCAACCAGAGATGGTTTAAATAACATGTATTGTTCTGCATGATTCCTTATGCAAATGTTTCTGTCCTGTTTGTTATTCCTGAATAAATTTCTAAGCCTGCTGTCTGGGCGGAAGTAGCAGCTCACTCTCCCAGCTGTGCCAGGAGTCACCTGCCGGAGGCAAGGGGCTCCAAGACCGGGTTTTATACCCTCACTCCATTCTGCAAGGTGAGCAATTATGTCCTAAAGAGCAGAGTCTACCAGCCCCATCTCTGGCTGGGTCCTAGGTTCTACAATGTCCTAGTAGGAAGAACTTCCAAGAATCTATTCTAACAGTGGGATTCTGTAGTCAGGACCTGAGGTCCAGATGGGGCGGTCCCACTGTGCCCACAGCAAGTGTGTCTCTGTTGAATGCTGGCAACCTGGAGGCCTCTGCCAAGGCAGACTGAAGCCAAGCTTTGGCTTGCGTGGATGAAAGAACGAATGAACAAATGACCTCAAGCTTAATGATGGAATTATACAGGCATCTGCTGAGTGCCCATTTTTTGCTAGGATCAGAATTAGAAAGTGAGGACACAAAGCCATCCCCACCCTCAAGCAGCCAGTCTCCCAGAGCCCAGGGTGGGACATGAGGAGCAACACCTCCTCCGAAGATCACTCCCTTCTCAAGTCCAGCAGCTCACATGTCCTGGAACCCTAAAGCCCAACATGCTGTTCTCGTTCTTAACAAATTCCTACGATCACCACCTACCCAACAACTCAGGGCCAGCCTATGGCTGCTCATGCAGATTGGACATGGATATGCCTAGAGAACACCATTCTATGTTCTGCCATTCATTCACTCATTCATTCATTGGCACCATTTTTCATTGACCAAGCACACCATATCTACCAGTGACCCTTGCTAAATAGGGTAGTATTTAGATGTGCAGGCTCAGAAGTGATGCTGGCCTGAGTCCTACTTTCACTCAGTACTTTCTGTGTGATGTTGGGCAACTTTAAACTCTTAAACTTCATTTTCCTCACCCATCAAATGGGGTTAAAAGTTAATACAGGATTATGTAAGGTAATAAATGCAAGCTTCTTAGCATTGAACCGGGTACATGATAGCCATTCCAAGATTATCATTTTTGAAAATAAGCTCTACTCAGTACTGGGAATACAGAAATGACCCTCAGTGTCTCTGCCCATTCTTTGGCTTCCTCATGTAACCTGAGTTCTGTACAACATGCTCTGGGGACAGCATGGGCTGATTGACTCTGTCCAGTGGTGACCAGGATGGCCTCACTGAGAGACTACAAAGGGGCAAAGTCTTAAGGAAGAGTGGAAGTTCTTAGGCAGACCAGGGGCAAGGCCTCTAGGAGATGCAGCATGTACAAAGACTCAGGGGAGTAAAGCTTGTTCTACAAACCATGGGGAGGCTGGAGTGGCCCATGGTGGACCTGGGATGACTCTGGCTGTCCCAAGCATAACCCCCTTCCCTCCCCCTTCAGCTCTCACTTCCCCCAGGGGGAGTCTCACTCTAGGGATCCCTCTCTCTGCTCCATGGGCCTGCACGGCCAGCTGAGTGCCAGGATTTCACTCATGGCTGGAGCCTATGCTTGGGGATCATTGCACTGTGCACTAGAAAATAGATATAATGAGCACAACTTTTTCCTTTTAAAATAATTAATGGTAAGTTAAAAAAAAAAGCCTGAGTCATTTTAAAATATGTGAAGTAAATAAACATCCAGGTGGTGGTCAGAAACTACAAAATCCCTGAAAGGATATGCAAATGACTGACATTTAGGTTAACCCGGATGCATGTGTACACACAAATGGGGAAATCAAGGTTCAGAGACTAGGCAGACAGCCCCCACTGGCCAGACCAGAGAGCTCTGCTGTGTGAGAGAAAGCACTTGAATTGGCTTCATTTACCGAGCCTCTCTGACACCTCTGTGGGAACCCAAGGAGCCAGTCACCATCTTTACACAGGATTGAGCTGATGCAGACCTAGAGCTGACCATGGTCTTTCTGAGGTCCAGACTGTGGCATGCTGATGAGAATAGCCAGGTGGTCTGCCAGGCAGCCTCTACTGTGTCGAGGCAGATAGGATCCTGAGGACCATTATACAGAGGAGGTTAAACTATTCAACAGATGCTTCACTGGTGCACGGAGGCAGGAAGGCTGTGAGGGGCAACCCAGCCTCAGGACTCAGATGCTCTGAGTGTGGTCCCCAGGCTGCCTGCACCTGCTAAAACTGCAGCTCCCGGGGCCCTTCCATTAAGAGAGGAAAGAGCAGGACTCTTGGCATCCTGGCTCTGCCCTGTGTCTGTCTCATCTGGATGGTGGAGAGAGGAGCACTGGCTAGCATAGTCATGAGGACTAAGTGACTGGATAGCTGTGAAGCTCTGAGCGTCCTCCCTCACACACTGAGCAGCACAGTGCATGTCATTGACAGCATCTCCAGAATGAGGCCCAGAGACCTTTGTTTTTACCAAGTACCCAGGCAATTGCAGCTTGTCCCCACTTGACAATCACTGCTCCCAACTGCTAGGTTCTTCGAGCTCCTGGCCCCTGGCCTTCTGCTCCTTCTTCATCAGGTGCAGGGCTTCACTTCCTGTGACTGGTCCCAACCCAGCAGCCCCTACTCTTGCTCCTTTGAGACCATGGGGACAGTTGAGTGCCAGGATCTACCCAGCTCTGCCAGAGCAGATGCAGAATTGCTGGGATCTCTCCACCATCTGTTCTTTTCTCCAAATTATAGCAAACACAAGACTGAACCAGACCCAGTGGTGACATCTGAAGACAGAGACAGGAAAAGGAGCCTCACACAAAGGAACATAAAGCCAACTTTATAGCGACTTTCTAATGCAAAGTTTGATTATGATCCTGTGAGAGACCCTCAACAATTCCACTCATTTCTACCAACAAGGAGCACAGAGATGCACAGGGCGCTGAAGGCCCCAAACCAGGCTAAGCTGAGACTCTTGAGTCATATGAGGCCCCAGTAAATCCAGTGGTTCTAAGAAAATTATTGTGGCTCCCATGGTAATAATAATCATAATAATGATGTCACTGAACCCAGCACCTTTCTCTAAAGGGCCTGCTTTCAACCTCCCTGAAGAGTCGGGGGGGGGCGCATTATTCTTCCTGTATTACATTGAAAGCAGGCTTTGATTGCTCTGGAGTTCTGGAGAGGGACAGGGCAGGGGAAAGGGGACATTCTGCCCCATCTCTGAGAGGCCGGCATCTGTAGCTGTCAGCAGTGTGATATGCCATGAGGCAAGCCCTGGTTTTCGCTCCCTGTACACCCTAGTGAACTGCCCAGGCTCAGAACCAATGCCATCCACTTCCGCACACTTTCCCCAGTGTGTGCCCTGCCTGTGGGCTGTGGGGGAGGGTTTCAGGAGCCACACAATGTCCTGGGGACCTGAGACTGTTGTACATGGAGCAGAACAAAATAAAACAAAGAAGAATAATTAAGAAAGTGGTATAGTAGATGGAAAGAGCATGAATTTGGAATAAAAAGATCTGCTGCAATCTTGTGTCTTCATCGTGCTGAGTCTCAGTTTTTTCATTTATAACCTAGGAATTATAAGGACTCTCTTACCGTGTTGCTTTGAGAACTAATTGTGATACAGTAGTCCCCCTTATCCATGGGAGCATTGCAGGACCCCCAGTAGATGGCTGGAACCACAAGAAAGTACCAAGTCCCATATATACAGCATTATTTTTCCCTATACATAAATACACAAATTTAATTGCTTTTCCATCTTAATGAAGCACTTACCATGCACTGTGGCTGTAACTTGTAGTTTGAGGTGTGACAGCAAAGTAGCATGAATTTCTTTTTCCTTCTTCACAATTTCACAGATAGATTTGTTCTTAGCAACATGTATTTTCCTCCCTTTCCTTATTAAGTGAAGAGCTTTCACCTTTTCCCTTAAAGGCAACACTTCGTGGTCTTTCTTTGGCATATCTGAATTGCCAACATTACTACTTTGCACTTTGGGGACATTACAAAGTAAAATAATGATGCTTTGAACACAAGGTCTGTGACACCAACATTATGATAAGTCAATCTGATAAACAAGGCAGCTACTAAGTGACTAATGGGCAGGTAGCTCATACAAGGCAAGGTGGGCCTACTGGATAGAGGGATGATTGACATCCAGGTATGGATGGAGTAGGAACCAAGGAGATTCTATCACACTATGCAGAAGGGCACACAATTTAAAATGTATCAATCATTGATTTCTGGAATTTTCCATTTAGTATTTTTAGGCTGCAGCTCACTACAGGTAGCTAGAGTCACAGAAAGTGAGACCGAGGAGATGACTCCACTGTGGACAAAAACACTTGGCCCATAGTAGGCCTCCACTGTGCATACCCCTGGCACATCTTCCTTGTCCTTTTTGGAAGCCAGAATGCTTCCTGCCCATCCTGCCTGACCTTTGAGTAGCTTTGCATGGGTCATTTAAATCATGAGGACAGGGTCCCTGAGCTCGGGACAAAGCTGTGTATTTCTGCACAAGCCTCTTCTCCTAATACCAAGTCTCTTAACAGATGTAATATGTTAACAAGAGAAAGTGTGGCTAATTTGTATATTTCCTAGGTTGAATTTGCTTTTAGTGAGACTTGGTCATTTTTTCAAGAGTAATGGAGTGTTCCCTAGAGTTCTATGAGTTACTACCGAAATGACATTTTCACGTTTGGAATATTCATGTCCCAATACAACTACAAATAGCTCCCCTCGCTGCCACCCTCTGCAAGCAAAGCACCTTGGGAACACATCATGTGCACTTTGCCTTCTCCCCTTGCTGGAAAGGCAGGTCCCTTCCCATCTCCCTCCTCTTCTGGAGAGGCATGGAGAAGCCATGTGAAATGTCTGGAGACCGTGTCACTTAAGGTTCCCAGTTCCTGCTTGGAGAAAGAAAGACCTGAGGGGGTGTGAACACTCTTGAAGGATCTGAAAACTGCCAGGGGACAGGTTCAGAGGACAGGATATGCTGCAGGGAAATTCTCAAAGGCAAATTTTTGCTAAAAGAAAGGAAGAATTTTTGAGTGCTTAGACTTATCTCATCAAGGAACGGACAACTTTGAGAAGTGCCAAGCAGATCGTGGACATACTAGGGATGATGGAGAAAGAATTCCAGAACCAAATGGGAGGTTGGACTGTGTGCTCATTGACTTTGTAGTTTCACAATGTGCAGAGAAGACATGTGCTCTGGTAAGATGAGAAAGAGAGATGTGAGGAGTTTTCCAGAAAGAGGGAGACGTCCATGGGCCCTTAAGGATGGGTAGAGTATAACTTATCAGAAAGAACAGGTTAGAATGCTCTCAGCTGGGATGCTGCAGGCTACCTGACTCTGCCTTCCCAGGAAAATTACTCAGAGTGCCCAGTGGTGCCTGGGGTCAGTTGCCAAGGATTCAGGGAGCACCTCTGGTGTGGAGAGGACCTCATGTTCAGACACTGCAGAGTTCAGAGCTGAGCTGCAAGCAGCATGTGCTCCAGGTAGGGATGATGGCCCATGGCTTGGTTAAGCTGGGATTTCCCTGACCATCAAATCCCATTTCCCACTGCACAGCCAGTGAGGTCAGCTGTGGAGCTGTTGATGGAGAAACAGCAAAAACAGCAAGCTAAACAGGCTGCTTCTGGATTTGATCATTGCATCAAGGTGCAGCCAGCCAGGTAGTGGATAGATGCTAACCAGGACAGCTCCAGAGGCTGAAATCTCAGACAGGCCTCTTACTACCTCTGAGATGTGGAGCAAGTTACCTGTTTCCAGGGTTTCCTTAACTGTGAAGAACAAGAAAGAAAATGCTTATCTGATAGGGTTGCCCCGATGATAAGATGAATGTGTACATCTCATGACATAAAATAAGATGGTATCTCCCACATGGTAGGTGTTCACCAAATATCTACCTATTCATTTTACTTCCTCATTTAGCCAATATGTGATAGATAGGTAGTGGAATAGTGCATTTCATAAGATAATTTAAGAAGGGTCCCGCATTTAGGGTAAGAAGCATATCTGCTATCACCTGGAAGTTGCGCTCAGCCACACCCGATTTGCAGACCTAATGAAATTGTTCTCATTTCAGGGGAAACTTTGAGAGAGAAAAGGAGAGACCAAAGAGAGCCTTAAACTCCATAGTTTTGAGGATAGCGATTGTAAATGTGCACCTAAAATGGGGGGACAAGTCCCACTCTTCTACCTTCTTTTTGGTCTCTGAAGCTGAGTTAGATGACATCTCAAGTCTATCAATATAGAGCAATTGTAGGAAAGTCACTGAGCCTTAGTTTCTTTGTCTGTAAAATAGGCATCATAATACCTGCTTCCCAGAGACAGAGCAAAGACCCAGTGCCTTAGTGCGTAAGTCTCCTAGCACATTGCTCACACTCAGAAGGCTCTCAGTAACTGTTAGTTGTCTTTCCCTTTCTTCCACTTCCTGCTGATTCTAGCCCTTGATGAGGGCATCCCAGTCATGCTAGTCACCCTAAACAAGTGCCTCTCCTGCTGGCCCCTGGTACCTCTGGTGGAGGACTATTGCTCACTGAGAACTGAGACTACTGGCAGGACAGAGGCGGGTGGTGAGGGGAAAAGGAAAAATCCACCGAGGAAACTGGTCAGCATTTCTTAGAAGAAAATTCTTGGTGGATTTAAAAGGAATTAGTGTATCTTTTCTCAGACCGGATGCCACGACTATCTATCTTTAGAAACCTCTAAATGGGGGAAGGTTCCAGGGATATGTGCATCCTGATCTCCAAGGTTGGCTCTATAAATACCTCCCAGCTGGCCTCAGCAGCTCTCTCCTCTAATGCAGAAACAGCCCTCCTCAGCTGCTCTCCAGCCTAGGCTCCCGGGGACCCATAGTAGCTCAGGGCTCTGGCTCACTCTGGGCATTGGGCAGAAGCACGAGTTCTCTGCTGCCGCCCTCTTCCTCCCCTCAGTGTTCCCCAAAGCCATGCTGCACTTCTCCAGTGCGCTATGGAGCCTGGGAGGAGTGACCATGAAGGCAAATGGAGATGATAAAGTCACCACCTGTGAGCCTGGGGAACGGCAGGCTGGGGGACACTCAGGGAGGAAAGAGGACAGACATAGTGGGAAGAAGGGTTCAGTGTCATTCATTCTTCCAGTGGCCATTTTTCAGTTCCTATTCTGGATGTCCCAGGCACTGGAGGGACAGCAGTAAAGACAGGCATAGCCTTGCACTCTGGGAGCTCGGGGGCTGGTGGCAAGTTTACAGATAAAGCGCACGGCAGCTGCTTGTTCAGTGAGGCCTAGAAGCCTGAATACATGAACTATTTGCAGAAATGGATCCTGAAGAAAGAAGGGGAGAAAAAACTGCAAAAGCCAAAGAAACTATATATTTCTGCAGTTCTCTTGTATATAGGTGGCTTTCACTTTGTGCTGCCTCTCTAAATCAGAATGTGAAATGAATTCTAATTGCAAAGGAGCTGATTATGCGCTCTCGCTCTCTCCCTCCACACACACACACACACACACACACACAACACACACACACAAAACCTCATCAGTCTAAATTTTATGTTCTGAGTTTCTCAAAGCTAGCTCCTCCAGCCAGGGCCCCCGTGCACACATTCTGAGTGGTCTCCAACCCTGTGAGCTGGTCGTGGAGGGTGTGCATGTCCTTGTGCCTCTCTGGCCCCTGTGGGCAGTGCCCTATTTGCCTCCTCACCCCTGTTAAACCCCTCTCTCCCCACCACCTCCCTAATGCACTGGAGACTGTGCAGGTAGGGACTGAAAGAGGAAGTTGGGAGGAAAGGGGGAAAGGGAGGAGGAGGAAGGAAGGTAAACTAAAGACAGGAAAAGTGGGAAACAGAAGGAAGTAATCTTCACATCCCTATCCTGCACCTCGCCCCACAGACCCGCCCACCTGTGCCACACACACACACCACACACACACACACACACACACAAAACCTGACCTAGTCCACACACAGTGCAACAGAGCTCCATACTGTGATGTGAAAA